GGCGGAGGCGCTGCGCGACGCGCGGCAGAAGGTGGCACGGGATTCAGAGCTTCCCATCCAATTCGTCGCCGAAATGGAGCGCCAGCACGGGTGGGAGGGGCTGAGGGGCGACCTGGAGGCCGAGTGGGAGCGCCGCCGCGACGCGGCGGCCGAGGCGGCCGCGCGGGGCGCCGCGGCGGCGGGCGGCGCGGAGGACCCGAGCGGGATGCTGCGCGAGCTTGATGGGCCCTGGGCAAAAGCCGCAAAGGCGGCGTCGGACGCGCTGTCTTCTGCGGCGCGCGCCGCGGCCGCGGTCCCGCCGACGGCGCTCAACCCGATGACGCGCGCGCGCGAGCGGCTCGCCGCGCGAGCAGAGAGCGAGCGCGAGGCGCTCGGCGCGGCGGCGGCGCGGAGGGCGGGGCTGGAGGCGGCGGCGCGGGTCCTGAAAGAGGTGGACTCCGCTTTCGGGCGGTCAGGGATCCCCTCATTCGTTCTGGAGGGCCTTTTGGGGGAGCTTCAGGCCAAAACCAGCGACCACCTGCAGCAGCTGGCCACAGGCATGGCCCTGGAACTACGCGCCACCCGCCAGCTGGGCAGCAGCAGCGGCGTCGGCGCCGCGGCGGTCGCGTCGGCGGCGGGCGGGAAGCGGGCCGCGGGGCGCCGGCGGGCGGCCGCGGGCGCGGGCTTGTCGGCGGACGAGGGTGTGGCGGAGGAGGGGGTTTTGGAGTCGTCTTCCCTGTATCCAGAGGAGCGCACTAAAGAGGAGATCATCAAAGTGGTCAAGGTCGGTCAAAGGGCGAGACGCGCTTGCGCGCCCCTGAAGTGTGATCTTGGGCGACCAGGCGTGATGTCATCAAAGCAGAGCGATCCGATCTGACGTGATCTGAGCCGACTCCTTGCAGCGTACCACAGCTGAGGCGTCTGGACCAATGCACAAGCCCACCCCATTATGATACCATCGTGGAAGCCTTGCTGTGGCGCAGAAAGCGCTCGTGCCATCTGCACCCCAGCACCTGTCACGCGGCGCGGCGCCGCCCGCCCACATGCGCGCGCGTCCGCCCCGCCACGCCGCGCCCCGCCGCCGCCGCAGGTCCGCGCGGCCAACGGGGAGCTGCGGGAGCGCGCGGTGGAGCAGCTCAGCGGCGGCGAGCGCAAGCGCGCGGCGCTGGCGCTGGCGCTGGCGTTCACGCAGGTGGCGGCGGCTCGGGGGCGGCTGAGCAGTAACCTGCTCATTTTGGACGAGGTGGGTGGGTCTGGCCCGGTGGCGCAAGGGGCTTGCAATGGGGGGTCGGAGGCGCTCCATCGCGCAATCCCCGAGGTGGTTGGGGGCGAGGGGTTCGTCCCTTATTATGGTCTGTAAGGGTGGGGGTGGGTGATCGCAAAGCAGTGGTGAGGTGTGGGGTTTCCTGACATAGGGCTGCTGGGTGTCACTAGTGACGAGTGATTGATGTCTGCTCAGCAAACATCCCATATTTTTGGTCGAGGGGCTGCCGCCCACCACGGCGCCGGGACCTTGATCGTGGCGGCTTGCGCTGCCTGGCGTCTCGGGGTGGTGCAGCGGGGCGCTCCAAGCTCTGGGAGCACCCCACCTGCGTGAGGGCTCGGCTGTGCGCCGGTGGTACGCCGTCGCAAGCGATGTGTGTCCTGACCGTGCGGGCGCACATCGCGTTGACCCTGCACCTGCTTTTGCTGAACCCACAAGATGCTCACAAGCAACCCACCAAACTACCATGCCAATCCGCAAGCCACCCATTCAACCCGCCTGTCAATAAGGCAATCATTATTAAATTAATCAAACTCATCTACTAACCATACCATACCATCACAACCATCAATCATGCATAACCATCAATCATGCACAACCATCCCACCCAACAATTAATTAACCATTCCAGGTGCTGGAGAAGCTTGATGGGGAGGGCTGCGCGCGCGTGGCCGCGCTGCTGGCCGGCCTGCCGCACACCTCCAAGATCGTGGTCGGCCAGGCCCACTCATGTGGGTGTCCAGGGGCCGCCGCCAGGGTTTGGGAGGGGCAAAAACCTGCGCAGAAATGACATTCGTGCGGCCGGCCGCCACCCCGAGGCGTGTGGCCCTCAGTACCCAAACTGGGGGCTGTGTCGTTGGGGGGGGGGGAGGGGGGGTCGGTGATGTCCTTGCGGGTTGCCTGGGGCTGCCTTGTAACCGCGGTCGTTGGGGCCCGCGGGGCTGCGGGAGCAATTCCACGCCGGAGCTCTTCTGTCAAACGGTTTCATGGTCCGGCCTAGTGCGGCGCGTGCCGGTGCCGAGCGCACTCCCCCCACCTACACAGGTCACCACACGGCCTGCTGGCGTGCACCCAGCCTGGCCACCAAAACGCGCCTGCCACTGTGTACGCTTGACCAGTCCACAACGCCGTCCGCACTCGCATCGCTTCGCCCGCGCAGTCGTGACTGACACATTTGCGGCGATCGACGTCGTCGTCAAGCGGGGTGGCGCCGCGTCCATACAGCTGGCCGCCGGCGCAACCGCGCCCGCGCCGCCCCTCCGGGCGTCGGAGGCGGCCGCCGCCAAGGCCGCGCCGGCGGCGGCGGCGCGGGAAGGGGATGCGCAGGAGGGCGGAGGCGCGGCGATGCCGGCGCCGCCGGCTGCGGGCAAGAAGGTGGCGCGGCGCACGCGGCGCAGCACTCGTAATTTAGACAGCAGCGGTTCGGAAGATGGAGGGGTGGCTGTGGGAGCGTAGTGCAGACATACAGCTTGCAGCTTGAGTGGGGACATCGATGGCACGTACAGTCCACGAGCACAGTCCGCATGTACAGTCCGCATGTACAGTCCACATATACAGCGCAGATATGCAATCCACTTGTGCAGTCCACCACATTGCTGCGATGTTTTTTGAATCCAGCCCTCAACCAATGCATGCTGTCTGAGTCAGCTCATGCAACGGTGCCAGTGCTTTGTGTTCTCAGAATGGTACCTGCCAGTGATTTGCTGTTGACTTTGCTTAGTTCCAATCCCGGTGCTCTCCCGTGCTCGACGTTTTGAGGTTCTGCGCGCGCGCGCGCCGGCGGCTTAGCCGTCCCAAGGGTGAACCGCTCGCAGACGACCTCCAGAAATAGGCCTACGTTTCTGCTGTCTAAAACTCCGTGTAGGGAGGCCCGAAGAGCCCCTGCTGGCCCGGGAGGCCGCCGCGGCCGCGCCGCGCGCGCGCGCCGGAAGCCGCGGGAGACGCTCTCCCCGGGTGCGATGGGATCGCTACGTATTTTCAAAATTTCTGGGACCGCGGAGATCTCCTTCCGCGCTCCGTCAGCGGCAACACACTCCCCGCGGGGCGACAGCATTTTTTTATCGCGAATCATCGCAGACACCTTTCTACGGGCCCCTACGTGTTCAGACGTCGTTATCTGTATATATTATCTATTTCACGAAGCCTGTCGACGGCTCTCACCCGTCGAACGCAGACCGCGCATGTTGGTCGAGGGGGCTGCGTGGGACTCATTCAGCGCGCGCGATACAGGCTTCGCGGTCTTCATAAATAGGCAACTCTCAGTGCTCTCTACCTCGGGCCGCTGAGACGCCAGCGCAGGGGGGTGGTGTGCTCGCGCAGCCGCCGCGCTGCGCGCCGCCGCTGCAGCGCTCCGGGCAATTTGCTCGCTGGGGCTTGCCGCGCAGAGTCGCATCCCCCACCCCCCACCCCTCTTCTCTAGGAGGACTTTCCTTGTTGGTGGGCAGGCCGCTCCTTTGCAGACTCGCCTCCCCACCCCCCACCCTCTCTACTACGCGGGACCTAGTGATCTCCAAGCCCGGCCGACAGCGTCCGCTCCCTGCGCCCCCCTCTCCTCCAGCCCCCTCCCACTCCGCACCCCTGGACTGCGCTCCCCTCAAAACCGTTGCCCGCGCCTAGCGGGCAGACGCCCGGCCCCCAGCGACCCGGCCCGCGACCTAGCGGGCAGATCACACCCCTGCGCCACACGGCACCGCACCGGGATTGGAGCTCACACTGTGGGCCCGCCCCGCGCCCTCCGGGCGCGAGGGCTACGTGAGAGCTTCTGGTTACGGTTCTAGTAGTTACGGCGCAGTGCCCGCTTAGGGCTCAGCGACCCAGGGCATAGCCGAATCCGCCCCCCAAGGCCTGTAATTCGGCACAGAAATTCGGCGCGGAAAGAGGATGCATATGCACGCCCCTAAAAATACGGACGGAAGCCGGGCGGCCCGCGGCGGCCCGGATCGCGCCATGATCGCGCCGGGATCTCGCCGCCGCGGCGTGCGTGCGGGA